ATATTTAATCACAAGTTTATTCCGCTTGTTTCATGAGGGTGTGTGTTTGTGTGTGTGTGTGTGTGTGTGTGTGTGTGTGTATAACATGATTCAAGCATCTTTTTCAAAAAGGCCACCTTCCAGCACAGAATTAGTACTGCTTCAGCCCATTTAAGTGTGCCTAACTCTTATGCTAGATGATAGCACTGACAGCTAATTGGGTAAAGGTAAAGGTCAAGGGACCCCTGACCATTAGGTCCAGTCGTGGCCGACTCTGGGGTTGCAGCGCTCATCTCGCTTTATTGGCCGCGGGAGCCGGCATACAGCTTCCGGGTCATTTGGCCAGCATGACTAAGCCGCTTCTGGCGAACCAGAGCAGCGCACGGAAACACCGTTTACCTTCCCGCCGGAGTGGTACCTATTTATCTACTTGCACTTGACGTGCTTTCGAACTGCTAGGTTGGCAGGAGCAGGGACCGAACAATGGGAGCTCACCCCATCACAGGGATTTGAATTGGAGTCATGCCCAATTGCAGTCCTACTACACTTGTTTGCTGAGAAGTGCTGCAGCCAAGTCACTCGTGGTTTTCACACATGGGGAGGTGTGCCCCCCTACCCACCCTCCCATGGGAATTATTTCAGGGTGGGTTTGCATGATTGATGAATGACCACATCACTACTTCCATCCTCTGTATGTGGACAGTAATACTTCATACAGGTGCCATGCATGCACAGGTGTGAAAGGAAACAGGGAAGATTCAATGGCAAGTGCTCCAGATAATAGGATTGGATTCAGACTGGGGCTGGATCTAGATACATCAAAGAAGCATTTCAGTTAAACGCGTTGCAAACTTTGTATGAGAAATCGGGTTAGCAAAAACAGAACTCCACAGCGCAATCTGGTGTCGCAGTGTTAAAATGCACAAACAACGCATATAAAGTGATTTTTTTTCTTTGCCAATGTAGCTGAGACCTGGGTTAACTCAGTGGCAGAGACACACCAACTAGGAAGCTAGCCCAGGTTTTTCAAACTGGTACCCTCCATACATTCTCAACTACAGATCCCATCAGCTCTAGTCAGCCAGTTGTAGTCCAAATCATCTGGAGGTCATCAGCTTGGCAAGACTGGCACTAACCTATTTCAAAGATTTCAGTGGGACAGGTCAACTCGAGATCTTGTTGGTGTTCACAGTCATTTTTCTCCCATTGCCTTTTTAAGGAAGAGAGGTGTTGTTTTTTTAAAGAAAAGCAACAATTAAAAAAAATCACATTTTCACATTGTTAGGTTTTGTTGATGTAAAGAACTTCACCTTTCTGATTGTTGTAGAAATGCCTTGCTAATTCTCATGCCCCCATCTTCGGTTTGAGTGGATCAGTGAGGCCTGTGCTTTGATATAGCACTGTAGAGTTGGAAGGGACCCTGAGGATCATCTAGTCTAACCCCCTGCAATGCAGGAATATGCAGCTAGTCCATACAGGGATCGAACCTGCAACCTTGGCGTTATCAGCACCATGGTCTAACCAACTGAGCTATCCAGGCTCATATATATATATGAGAGAGAGAGAGAGACAGAGAGACAGAGAGACAGAGAGACAGAGAGAGAGAATTCTTTTCGGAACATAAAGGTTGAATGCAGAAAGCTGCCTTGTACTGATCATTGGGCCATGTGGCTCAGCATTGTCTACTCTGCCCGACATGGAGAGGCCAAGGACTGAACCTGGGACCCCTTGGCTGCAAAACGTTTCTCTGCTAACTGAGGATGTCCTTCTAGATTCTTGTCTCTGCATTCCGTTGGCCAGTTCACACAACATGGGTCCTTTCAACTGGTGCGCTGATCGTGGCCAATGAAAGTGGCTAGTTTCATGACCTATGGCCTCCATGTGGGAATGGTTTATCCAGCTGCTGTGGCTTGAAGTACCATGGAGGCTCAACAAGGCACCAGGAAGATCACACCAGCTGTGGTAGCCATGTAGGCACAGCACACTCACATTTCCACATTGAGAGCCAGTGTGGTGTAGTGGTTAAGAGCAGGGGACTCGTAATCTGGTGAACTGGGTTCGCTTCCCCGCTCCTCCACATGCAGCTGCTGGGTGACCTTGGGCTAGTCACACTTCTCTGAAGTCTCTCAGCCCCACTCACCTCACAGAGTGTTTGTTGTGGGGGAGGAAGGGAAAGGAGAATGTTAGCCGCTTTGAGACTCCTTAAGGGGAGTGAAAGGCAAGATATCAAATCCAAACTCCTCCTCCTCCTCCTCCTCCTCCTCCTCCTCCTCCTCCTCCTTCTCCTCCTCCTCCTCCTCTTCTTCCTCTCTCACAGTGCTGTTCATCCATGAAGCCCAAGGTGTCTGGTTGACTGCTGTGGGTTATTAGCATACTGTATGAGAAAGGTCATAGGTCCAGCGAGGGTCTTCTTGTTCAAGAAGTGCCGGTGTTTGTCTGAGCACCATCATCTTCAGAGTGGGCAAACATTTGACCATCCCCTTATGCCGGTGCAGGCCAGTCCATGCTACACTTGAAATCGTATTGCAGTGAATTAGGAATCCACTTTAGGCTAACCAGAAATAAAGTAGAATAAAGCCAGAGTCAGCTCAGCCTTAGGAACAGGACTGAATCTTTCATTTATATCTTGCACAATGGTTATGAATATTTGATGGTGCGTCTAAGTTTGGAGGCTTCATTTATTTGTATATTTTTAGCTGCACTCATTCATGTAACACCTACTGCAGTTGTAGCAAAGTGCTTTGCTCTCCCTGGACATATTCCTAGAATCATTGTGTATATTAGGTCTCTGTTGCATTAGAACAAACAATCCCAAACCCATATATTTTCTCCTCTCGTGCAACCCAGGGACAGCTTTCTTGCCACAAAAGTTCATCTCACACCAGAGAGTACGTTTTTGCAATAGATACACACAACTGGTGATCAGACGATCAGGATGTCAGAAACTGCCCATCGAAAACCCCAGTGTAGTTTCCTTCTTTGGGAAGGGGTGTCTGTCGCAGGACTCTCATATTTACCCAGGATTCAAATCACATTATTTTGCTTTCCTTCCTGCTTACCCCAGATCCCCAATAGCGCACCAGTTATACTTTCAAACATTGTGTGAATGTGGTGTATTTATTATTCAGTGCCAGTGTGGGAAATTTAAAATGGCAATTCAAGACTGGCCACAACTGCTGCAAGGTAAACCTATGGCCAGAGGGGCTCACTGACATGGGTATTTGTGACAGGCACTTTGTTAAGAGCCTACTCAGGACTGGAACAATCCCGGCATTCTTCTGTGAATGGCAACAGTGGTCTTCAACAACTCTCCCCCTTGTTTAAGTATTTCTTTTTACCCTCCTCTTAAGCTGAAAAGGCTCACAAAACAGTTTTTACACAAGGTATACGACAAACAAGAAGGTTTCTGGCTGCAGGCTTGCAATAAAAAAGGCATGGCATGAAAGGAAATTGGGGAGTGGAAGGAAGAGGAAAACAAGCAAACTCAGGTACCAGTTCTTAGTCATGACAAAGTAGTTACAATGAGAGACTTGAATGGAAACAGCTCATGGAGAGGATGAGCTTGATGGAGATGGTGTCTCAGCAAAGTGTCCTGCTTCCCATCTCTTTTTGCTGCAGCCTGGTGGAATGGCAGCACCTCAGTCATGTGTTTTGAGTCTCAGGCGAACGGATCCTTAATCACTTTCTCAGTAGAAGTGCCTCCAGGGTTTCTGTTATGAACTTCAGTTGCTTGGTCCTGCTTGGTGAAATGGTTAATCAATGGAGGAATCGACTGCTCTGTAGGCAGGAAGGAACTGAAAGAGTCTTGCAATCTTGGCTTATACAAGGGTGAATCAGCAGCTGGAGCCAATGTTTTTTTTGCTTTTTGTTTAACAAAGCTCCTTGTGAATCAGGGTCCTCTTTTCTCTTCGTCTTGAGATTGCAATGTTTGAACATGAAGCGCTTGGCTTGGCAGCTGTAAAGCTGGCTCCTTCCCTCCCTTGCAATGTTGCGCTGCAGGTGATATTTGACAATAGCCTCTGGTTTAGTTGCTTGCTTTACATGCTTCCTAGCTGCAAGGGATGCAGGGAGGATTCATCAGTCTCCAGGCAAATTTAGTTGCTCTTAAAAAGAAAGAGGCCTGTGTCCAAAGGCGGATGTGAGATGCTGCAGAAGGAAAGGAAAGGAAAGCCTAGCGATCAAGCAATTTCAGCCCAGGCTCTGTGCTGCTTTTCCTGTGTTTCTCTCTCACCTGCATGACTTGTCAGAACCACTTTCTGTGAAAGGAGGCTGTTTGGATACAGGCACGAGCAATTCACAACACCCTGCCACCTTTCTAAGGTTTCAAAACAGCAGTGCCCCAGAAGATATGTGTTTGGCTGGCTCCTCTTTCCCATCACCATCCCCCGTAACATTCAGTCACACTTTGTGCATTGGTTTCCCCCAAAGCACTGCTGAAATCTAGTGCTGTGGTTTGCAAATTGTGTTCTGTCTTTCTCTCTCACTTGCACCAACTGGTAAGGTGAAAGTGGGTGCCTTTCCAAACCAAGTACCGTATTTTTTGTTCTATAAGGCTCACTTTTTCCCTCCTAAAAAGTAAGGGGAAATATGTGTGTGTCTTATGGAGTGAATGCAGGCTGCGCAGCTATCCCAGAAGCCAGAACAGCAAGAGGGATTGCTGCTTTCACTGCGCAGCGATCCCTCTTGCTGTTCTAGCTTCTGAGATTCAGAATATTTTTTTTCTTGTTTTCCTCCTCCAAAAACTAGGTGCGTCTTGTGGTCTGGTGCGTCTTATAGAGCGAAAAATACAGTATTTCTTTGCTGCATTCATTTGCCCTGCAATAATCTGTTCCACGCAAGCACTTGAAGTTGGTGTGCTTATAAAGTAAGCGGAACAGTTTGTTTTCCCTTTTCTTTTTATAGAGGGGGAATTTAATATAGCAGTTAATCTCACAATTGATCTGGCTGTTGTGCAGAATATTTGCGGCTCAGTGCTCCTTCAGCAACATGTGTAGCTCAGGGCCATAGTTCACTGGTGAGCAAGGGATGTAGCTCAGTGGCAGACCATCTGCCCTGTGTCCAGAAGGTCCCTGGTTCATTCAGGCATCTCCAGGTAGGTTTGGGAATGTCTGCTGTCCAGAACCCTGGAGGGCCTATACCAGGCAGTGTAGACAATACCGAACTAGATGTGCCAGTGGTCTCACTCGTTCCCTGTCAGCTTCTTGTGTTGTCAGTTGCTTAGGGCTTTGCTTTGGAAGGGAAAGCGGGCTTCAAATAAACAGTGACATGAAAGGAAACATTTGCTATCTAGATGAGTAGCCATGAGAAGATTCGAGGGAAGCTGCGAGGTGCTGTTTTGTGCCGATGCACAGGGATTTACTGACATATTAGCCAGAGTCAACATATGCATTTCACAAACATAATGCATTTTAAAGCACATTTTACCCAAGTACATGCATTTTTGGACACATTATTTGGCTGGGGAACAGCATTTCAAAATTTGGAGAAGGGCGCGTTTCAAAGGATGACTGTATTTTGGTCTGTGCTTTGTTTCAGAAAACATCAATTGGAAAAGTTTGTCTTTAAATGTGAACTGGATCAATCTTCATCTCTACTTATCCTCTAGTCACATACGTAACTTTAAGACATCTCCACCTGACATGGTTTTTTTCTTTCTTTCAGCTTTTGTATCATTGTAGCACTGCGGTCTCACTTGTCATGGAACAAAATTGTTGTGAATGTTTAACTTATTATTTGTTACTTATTTTGGAAAATTAACAAAAGCATTTTTTTTTTAAAAAAAAGCACACATACCTGGTAGTTTCCAAAATGCAAAACGGGAACAATAAACAAATTATTGACCAGGGACAGACACCCAAAGAGTTACTGGTAAACAGGGGAAGGTGGACCATGGATTAGACATGAACTAGAGGAAATATTCTGTCTCTGTTTGCATACTGCCTGGGGCCTTGTTTTGCTATGACAGGCGTATTGTTCCTGGTGGAGGAGGGAGGGTAGGGAGAGCAAAGTATGTTTTTAAAAATATATATATGTCATGTTCATTAGCTGTCATTAATGTCAATCACAGCTGTGACAGGCATTCTTGTGTTCTAATTCCATTGCCTTAACTTTCGGTGAGATGCTGTTTGGTATTCATTACCTCAGGTTAATTATGGAGCCAGTGAAAAGTTTTGATTTGACTGACTTCCTCAAGGCTATCCCTTTTTTATTGTTATTTGCTTCTTCCCTGCTTTTTGTATACATGCTTATCCAGCTGACCGCAGGTTTTTCCGCAACTTCAGACTTACCTGCATACAGATTTCTTCCCCTCCCAGCCTTTCCCCTTCTTCCTCCCCTATCTCACCATCTGTTTAGTAGCTTCCTCTCAAGGTTAATCTATTTCATGTTACAGACTGAATACCAAGAGGTTACTCAGCAGATGCATTGTCTGAAGAAAGAATTTGCCATCCTTTTGCTAGCCTCTGGAGCTAGACTAAAGAGTAGAATAACGGAATGGGAAGGTACCCCAGGGGTAACCCAACCCAACCCTCTGCAAAGCAGGAATCACAGCTCACGAATAACATTATCGCCCTGTGCCAATGCAAATGTAAAAGAGTGTATTCACCCATCTCGTTGACCGGAGGAAATGGTTCAAAGGTGACCTTTGCTTATTTACAAAGGTCCCTTAACATGCACCACGGTATCAAAGGACCATCTTATAACCTTCCGATGAGGCATATGGCTTCACGCTGAATGAGAGAGGCATGGAATAACCCCCAAAGTTGGTCCATTGAAATTCAATAAGGCACAGTGATGGTTGTTTCTGTTAGTATTTCATGCATCCGAGGCTGCAGATGTGACTGGTGTAATTCACATGCCTGTCTGGGAGGACTATGGGAACGGAAGACAGCCTTATCTCTCGTCCGTTGTCTGTACTGTTGGACTGTTCTTTTGCTTTGACTTCGTTCTGTTTTCTCTCGGACCTGATGAGAGAGGACGCCATGATGCTTTTTCTGTACAGAGTGAGTAAATAAATACGTAGATTAGCTTTATGGTGTCTCACGCTTCTCGCTGTGTAATGCTAGAAGTTTAGTGTGCATATATCATTTAATGAATGTCGCTGAGCGCACTGGAGAAGAAGGGAAGCGCATACCGGAGGACGCTCAAACAGCGGGAGCTGCAGGAGCACCGCAGGGCATTTTCCAACAGTTTCACCCCCTTGTTTCAAAGGGTGCATTCACACATATCACTACACCGAACCATGACTTCACACAAATATATTAGTGCATCAGCTCTTGTGTGTGTGGGGGAGAGATTGCAGCTACTTTGCTCCTCACCTCATCCTTTTATAATAATAATAATAATAATAGTAATAATTTATTTATATTCCGCCCTCCCCAGCCGAAGCTGGGCTCAGAGCGGCTAACAACAATGAAAGTAACACAATTTACATAAAATCACAATCAAGTAATTGAATTGCATTCTAAAATCAACTCATTCTAAAATCAATTCAAAATCAAATTAATGGCAACCACTGGGCTAGAGTTCTGTGAGGATTACCAAAGGAAGGGGTCAGGCTGTGCCTTGGCCAAAGGCCTGGTGGAACAGCTCTGTCTTGCAGGCCCTGCGGAAAGATGTCAAGTCCCATAGGGCCCTAGTCTCTGGTGACAGAGCATTCCACCAAATCGGAGCCACAGCCGATAAAGCCCTGGCTCTGGTTAAGGCCAGCCTAAGTTCCCTGTGGCCCGGGACCTCCAAGATCGTTTTGTTTAAAGACCGTAAGGTCCTCCGTGGGACATACCAGGAGAGGCGGTCCCGTAGGTACGAGGGTCCTAGGCCGTATAGGGCTTTAAAGGTTAAAACCAGCATCTTAAACCTGATCCTGTACTCCACCAGGAGCCAGTGCAGCTGGTATAGCACCAGGTGAATGTGATCCCGCGGTGAGGACCCTGTAAGGAGTCTCACCTCAGCATTCTGCCATTGCAGCTAAGTCAAGATTTGGCTTGATGTGCCATGCAAACATAGACTCCTAGTTGAGGTCTCTCCTCCTTAGCCACAAGCTGTAGTCCTAGTTTGTTTTTGTCTGTAATTTGTGTTTGAGGAGGACGGAGCTTAACCACGATCCCAGGTTTGGATGATGCATTAAGCCAAACTTTGCTTTAGCTGCTGCACTAGGCTGAAAGGACTGGGGACGAGCAACACAGACATGAGCTCCTCTCTGGAAGTCGGCACATTTGCACGGTCCTGATAAGCCATAGTTTGACTTACAGTCAGGCCAGACTTTCTTCATTCACTGAATGCAGGTTAGGACCTTGGCTTCTTTGGACATGAAAAATGATAATAGGATTGATTCTTAGAAACATTTTGCAGGCTTGCCCAAGACACACTGTGGATACCAGAATGCACAAAGCACACCAGATGTTCCCTTATGCTGCTGCTTTATGAAATGCTGATGGGGCCTCATGAATTTTCAGTCACGGCTCTTTTTGAATGGTGGCAATTACTTTTCAACAGATTGATTTTTCGTTGTGTTGCTGCAAAACTATGCTGAATTCCCTTCGTTTTTATTTTTTTAGTTCTGGCTTTTTAGATGGGTTTGTCAATTGCGGTAATAGAATGAGGAAGTAAGAATGAAAGGGGATAATTCAATTTATTTGCTCGATTTATTTTTTAAAGAAATTCAAACACATATAGAATATCAGGTGATGTTTCCTGAAAAGCACTGCAGAAAGGATTATGGCAGCATGAAATTTGAGAATAACTTTTAGTCTACCAGGAATGAGGGTTTTCTGTAATTTTAACATCTGTGTATCTCATGTACTCTGTGCGTGTGTGCGCGCGCGCGCTATTTTCCTAGGAAAAAGGGTGCCAGAACTCACCATGGAACTCCTCCTTTGTTCTCTTACAATGGCAATGGCGCTCACCTGAGAGGTTCCAAAACTGAGTTCCGGTGAGTTCTGGCTGGAAAAAAAAGCCTTGGGGTGTGTCATTTATTGTTCTTTATTACTTCCTCCCAAAGGAGCCTGTTGATGTTGCAGCTGCTGTTGCTGTTCCATAGGAGACTCCCTTTTGTTCTTGACTAGCAAGGAAAATTATGTATGGAACTTGCACCAATAATTTATGGTATTCACAAGATTTGGTGATGGTCACTGCCTTCTTGTTGTTGTTGTTTAGTCGTTAAGTCATGTCCGACTCTTCGTGACCCGATGGACCAGAGCACACCAGGCACTCCTGTCTTCCACTGCCTCCCGCAGTTTGGTCAAACTGCCTCCCAGCCACTCTAAATCTGGTGCAATAAAGAATGGGCAACTTGATATACTTTTATTGATGCTGTTAGACAAAAGGGTGAGAGGAGGAACCCATCAAAGACTGATGGAAAACTGCAGAAAGATATATTTGATTAATAGGAATCTAATAATTCTCAGTAATATGAATGAGTGTTAAGCTTTTTATTAATGTGTTTTGGTGATAGATTTCAATGTTATCATTGCTTGTGGTCCACTCTGATGTTTTGTTTGTGTGTATGAGAGATAGAATGAAAGATTGAATTTGGAGTCATTTTCATGCAAGGTATTTGTTCTACCACTGAACTGTTGTTGTTTAGTTGTTTAGTCATGTCCGACTCTTCATGACCCCATGGACCAGAGCACGCCAGGCACTCCTGTCTTCCACTGCATCCCGCAGTTTGGTCAGACTCATGTTTGTGGCTTCGAGAACACTGTCCAACCATCTCGTCCTCTGTCGTCCCCTTCTCCTTGTGCCCTCCATCTTTCCCAACATCAGGGTCTTTTCCAGGGAGTCTTCTCTTCTCATGAGGTGGCCAAAGTATTGGAGCCTCAGCTTCACAATCTGTCCTTCCAGTGAGCACTCAGGGCTGATTTCCTGCAGAATGGATAGGTTTGATCTTCTTGCAGTCCATGGGACTCTGAAGAGTCTCCTCCAGCACCATAATTCAAAAGCATCCATTCTTCAGCGATCAGCCTTCTTTATGGTCCAGCTCTCACTTCCATACATCACTACTGGGAAAACCATAGCTTTAACTATTCGGACCTTTGTTGGCAAGGTGATGTCTCTGCTTTTTAAGATGCTGTCTAGGTTTGTCACTGCCTTAG